AAACATTTTACATCTTGTAAAACAGCTTAAAGAGCAGGCTTAAAAAATCAGAACAGTTTAGCTATGACTGAATGCTACTACCTAGCCAAGTCATCATTTATTGTGCTCAATGCTTTCAGAATGTAATAAAGTACACAGATCATGTACCCAACACAAATATTTATCTACCATAATGTAACTTAATATAAAAGTGAGTGGTTCCTCTTTCTTAATTAAAATAATTAGAATTGCTTACACTTTTATAGCGCTTTTCTGGACACTCCACTCAAAACACTTCCACCACCAATGTGCAGCATCCACCTGGATGATGCGACGGCAGCCATAGTGCACCAGAAGACTCACCACACATCAGATATGAGTGGGGAGGAGAGCAGAGTAATGAAGCAGAGTAATGACTAATTTCATAGATGGGGATTATTAGGCCATGATTGGTAAGGGCCAATGGGAAATTTAGCCAGGATGCTGGGGTTACACCCCTACTCTTTTTGAGAAACACCCTGGGATTTTTAATGACCACAGAGAATCAATACCTCGGTTTTACATCTCATCCGAAGGACAGCGCCTGTTTACAGTATAGTGTCCCCGTCACTATACTGGGGCATTAGGACCCACATGGACCACAGGGCAAGCGCCCCCTGCTGGCCCCAATAACTCGTCCAGCAGCAACCTTAGTTTTTCCCAGGTCTTCCATCCAGGTACTGACCAGGCTCACACCTGCTTAGCTTCAGTGGGCTGTCAGTTGTGAGTTGCAGGGTGATATAGCTGCTGAATAAAGAGATCTTTTTGTAACGAATTCCAGGCAGGATCTATGTCCCTGACTGGGCAGAATTTTTGTATCTATTTTTTCCAACTGATTTTGGAGATACCCTGAATCTTCTGGCTTGTTATGCTGCCTGCATTGATCCCTTAACTGGCTTAATGATTAGACAATATTGATTAAGGGAAGCAATGTAAAAACCACAAACTACTATGCAGGACCAACAAGGCTATAAGCACAAAAATTAGATATTGCTAATCTGAAATGTTTAAATGCATGCAATTGGAATACTCCTCAGAAACCTCAGAGGTAGTGAACTAGTTCTGAGAGTGATGCGTTGCCTTTCTTACTTTCTAGCTGATGGGGTACAGCAATTTGAAAATGGAAAAAGAGGAGATTATTATGGGACAAAATATACTGTACAAAGACACTGCCAGGAGTTAATCCAGTGAACTTTAGGATTAACGATGAAATGAGAATCCAGGGTGCAAAAGCAAATCAAGAGGTAGTGCACGTAGATCTGAGAACCAAAAGATCATCTTTACACGAAGTGGGGTGGGTGTCTGGAACATGCACCTCCACCTTGTTGAACCCGACACCATCACCTCTTGCAAATCACAATAAAATGAGATCCCTGGATTAATCATAGAGAGAACTACAAACCAGGAAAAGGAAGATGGACCTATAAGTGTTCCCATTCATAAACTATTTTTTTATGCTAGAAACAAACAACACTTTAAGATCCGACTTGAAACAGATGCCCACTTTAAGAATGACAAGAAAAATGACAAGATACTCACTAAACTAAGCAAATTAAATTGATCAGAGAAGGTTGAATTCTAAAACAGTGCTCACTGTACAGTAATGCAGAGAAAAAGAGGATGCTTGAAGTCTCTGAAGTTTGGAGTTTGACATCTTGGGTCTGGAGGAAATGGGTCATAAATAGTCATCTTTCAGCTATTAAAAGGCTTCTTGAGGCCGAGGTGAGGTGAGCAACGAGACACACAGCTTCTTTTGTATTGCGCACACAGCCAGTGTGGAGAGGAAACCAGGACTCCCCCGAAGGAAAGAGGCAGAGCTCCTTCACAGCGCCGTTTCAGGTTCCACAGTTACATCAGCCCCCAGAAAGCCCAGTCGCAGGGAATATTCTGGCACGCTTCAGACTCGCAGTCCAGGCCCACACAGCAAGACTCAGGCCTGATTGCCCAACCGTGGCCTACAACAGCTAGTGTAGCCAGGCCCTGACGCACTTCAGAACAGAACGTGCTCTTAAAACCATTGGCAACACTTGAGGCTGCTTCGACCCAAGAGACCTGCTCACTCCTGCGTACAGCAGCACACGATAGCCAGCAGAACGCTTGGATATGTGGCAAAAGTGTGCCAGGTCCAGCTAAGGTAGGTGTTAGAACAACAAAACATGCTTGCAAGATCCGGGAGTGCTATATTCCCTTTGCTCCATAAAATAGAGACCTCTCCATGCTGCAAGTGCACAAAGAGCAAGCACAACAGAGCCTGGACCGAAATGTGCGGGACTTCTGCTGATTTTATCAAAACAAGCAGACATTTCTTCAATTTTAAATAGGAAAGAGACTCAAGGAGACAGCAGCTGAAGCAAGACGGCAAAGGTACAAGTAGAGAAGAATTCCAGGGGGGAAATTAAACAAAAGATTAAAATGACTTTTCCCAGCCCAAATAAACCTCTAGTTCTTCCTTAGAGCAAGGAAGGCTGGGTGCATTTGATTCTGGGATCTAAAGGACAATTTCTTTGGTTAATCTAATGCCCAGTGAAGGGGGGAAAAATCAGGTTTGTCCATTCATAATATCTGGGCTTGGCGACAGTTCTGCGGCGTGAGATAACTACCACTGGGTCTTTTATTCCACTGTAATTACACGCTGGTTGCTGAAGGCAAAGCACCACAGTTCTGCCAAGCAAAAAGTAAACACGGTCTACATGGCATTCCAACAGTCCAGTCCGAACCACAAACACAGGGACTGAGTGAGGAAACCTTTAGTTTATAAGACCTGAACTTTCACACCTTGTCTCACCTGTGTTCCACCCTATTCACCACATCATCGCAGATACTGCAAAACACTTGAATTGTCGAAAACAGCCAGTTCATTTTAGAAGGAAGTTAGCTACAGCAGGGTTTCACAATGCTGGTTCTGGAGACCCACAGACTGCTACACTGCGTTCCACTAAGCACAAATAACTAACCAAACAAAAACCTAACAATAGGTTCAATTCAAACTCGAATCGTTTTCAGGTCCTAAGCAGGCAGGAGGTTGCCTTTTAACTACTGCGTTGCGCCGATCAAAACAAAACTTTTGAGTAGAAAACTAAACTTGGAAAAGTTCTAATCAAGCAGTTGGATTGTTGGATTCATTAAAGAACTCACCTGCGGTGAATCCAGCAGGTTTGTGGGTCACCGGGACCAGGATTGGATACCCCTGTCCTAAATTCCTAAACTTTGATTATTTCGTACATTCATAGACATATAACTATTGTATCTATATTACGGAAAGTGCAATTAGGTGATAAGCTTATTGCCTTCAATACGAACTAATTAGCATCCTCATCAACATTTCAAACATGCCAAACGACACGAAATCGACCGAGTGTATTTTACACAGTCCGTCTCCTCCGCTTAACACGTTTCAACTACTCACGGATACAAACACGCCAATACTTTATTTTACCGCTGTCACCAAAGTATTAGTCATACCAGGTGCGTTAAACTCGAGCAAAAGTTAAAATTTCACATTTTGGAGCATTTCCAATTTTGGAGCATTTTTTTTAGGATTTGCGTTAAACTCGAGCAAAAGTTAAAATGTAAACTTCTGGAGCATTTCCAAAGAGGTCCCGCGATTTACACGTAGGCGACGTCGCGGATTCGCCTGAATGGTAATGAAATCCTCCTGCGTCTGAGGCTTTCGAAACGTTTGCCCAGCGTACTGTAACTGAAACGAGGGATTGTTTCCATTATGTAGTTCATATAAACCTGCAATGGGTTTTACTCTGCTTCTGCCGCAAACCAGAAAACCGTTTTAGAAAAATTAAGAGGTGGATCGCCTCCAAGTCACACCGACGGACGCTCGGCTGAGACCTTATTAAAATGAATGGTTAACGCCTGGAGTCATTTATATTGGAGGGCTGCTGCTGGAAACTTTTAAGGTTTTATTTGAATACCGCTCGCCAGGGTGACGTCCTGGTACATCAGCCTTTCTACGTTCCTGTTTTAAGTACAGTAAAGGTGTGCCTCTCATATGATCGTTGTACGTCGACATTCCTCTTTTCAAACAGCCTGCATGTGTCGTTTTTGTCCTCCCCAAAGTATTTTACTACTATAAGGAATATCGGTCCTAAGAAGTTCTCTTAAATTCCCTCTCGTTGACACGATCGTATAGACTTATCAACGGAAAAGTCTGCAAATCTGCACTGTTCACCTCATCACGAAAGGACGGAGTGAAAACGGTGCCTTTTTTCCAGGTTCTGAACATGTATCGGCCTGGTTTTTTAATAACTTAAAAAGGAGCTAAAAGCAGCTGCTCCGATGCGCAAGAGCACGGATGCGCTGTTCCCCTCAAGACAGCTTGTGAGATGATTCACACGTAGATACACAGCCCCCGAGGGAAAAGCAAAGCGATCCGCTAAAATCCACTGCACTTAAACTCTATTACCTTCAATTACTAAATCATACATCACATTTCGATGCTCAACTACCACACTTGCTCAAGTTACTACATATACAGCGAGGAACTGAGAATTATATGGTAAACTACAGTAGCCTGTTATTGCATGTGGACTACTAACTTTTTTTTGTTTCTTTCCTTCCGGGTTTACCGGTTTTGCGGGCCCTTACTTTTTATCTGGACTGTGCTGTTTCACAAAAACCACTTTCTATAACGTAACTCCCAGACACTACAAATGCTGCCCGCGATGCATTAACGAGTTTCTGATAACTGCGAGATAACTTTAGAAAAAGATCTTAGGAAAAGTTCGAGTCACCCAATTTCGTGTTTATTAAAAAGTCATGCATGTGGCATAATTTCCCTCGCTGATACTATAATACTCAGCTAGGACAGTGGATCTCACCAGCCTGCAGTGATGTGTCAACAGCATTCCAACATTTTAGCAAAAGTTTTCATCTTACAACTCCAAGAAACCCGCATCTCCTTGCATTTTCACTCTGCTTTACTACATAAAACAAAACCTTTTTAAAACGCTCTCCGGTTTCGGGCTTACCACAGGGCAATCCGGTCTTTGGGAAAGTTGAGGCGCTCTATAGTCGCCAGGAAGTGCGGCAGGGAGTGAGCCGAGTTGCGGCAGATGAGAGCGAGGAGCACCCTGGGTGCGAGCAGCGGGGACTCGGGGCTCCAGCGCTCTTCGGGGAAATATCCTCGGGCCGGCCCAGGGATGAGAAGCGAGAGCAGGGCAGGCAGCAGAAAGGGGAGCCGGAACATTGCAGACGAGGGTTTTGGGGAGGAAATGCCAGCAGGGAGACGCACAGCAAACGGAGAGTAAGGTTGACGAAAACGTTATCCCCGATTTACTGACCACCGACAAAAATACAACGCCGCAGAGCGTTTTTTTGGCGTTAAGGGGGAAGACGTTATTAAAGGGGAAAAAACTTCCTTAAAGGGGAAGTTCGGCTATTTTACGTTTTGTGTGTGCAGATAAAAAGAAGTTTCCTTTAAAGGTATTTTATCCACCTCAAGTGGAAACGGTATGTACTAAGACGGAGAAGAGAGAAGAGGTATGGTTTAGTTTGTGGAGTAAAACACTGTCAGTCATTTTTAAGTATTATTTTCCAATACAAATTCATTAACAGCTCCTCCTTACGTACATCAGCCTTGAGCGAAAGACACGACACCATCATTCCATATAGGACCCATAGGAACCAACGAACTCCAGGATAGGTTTTTTGATGCCAGACGTGTCTTACTAACTCAAATCTTTAAAGGATTTTGTTGCATAGACAGATCGGAAGTACCGACCGGGAGCCAAATGATATCCAGAGTAAATAAAACGTTCGTTTTAAAGTAGAACCTAAATACCAGAATTAACTTCACAAGGTGCTTCTCCTTTAGTGTTCATGTTACATTATCAAAACATACTCAGGCGCTGAATCTAGGATCAACTTTATTTTTTAATACAAGAAGCGGCATTTCAAAATCTCTTTAATTTTATCCCTCCCTTTAAGAGAATCCAGGTGCAGATCGCGGCGTTAAATTGGAATGTGCCAGAACGTTCTGTGGGCGTGGCGAAGGCAGCTGATTGGACACTTAAGGGCTGAAGAAGGTCTGGGTGGGATGGGCCACTGTAGGCGCAGTCGTATTAGTCTCAGTAGAATAATAAACAGGCACAGCATTGGACTGTTAGTGAGTGTGTATTCGTAGGTATTTATGAACAAATCACAGGGCTTGATTGTTTTTGTTAAAAAAACCTTTCCTATTAAACGTTCTTTTGATTAACTAATCCCTTCTTAGTTTTCCGTTCAACTTAGAATATTAAAAACCTCTCCAAAAGCTGTTAAAATCTTAATTACAAAATTACAGATCTATAAAAGAGGAATTCTGAAAACAGGGACATAGCTTCGGTTTAATTTGTTTACACATAAATCCGAAAACTGAGCTGGACTCTCCCTGAAGTTATTTTAAGAGAATTGCTTGTTTTTACACTGGACGAAAATACTTTGCGAGGTAAGAAAGTTGTCAGCATTCACTGAGCCAATATATACAAGGTACATCCTCAGGCAGGGGTCATGCTAATATTGTATTATTTTTATTGTAGACCTGGAACAAGTTAAATGTGAACACTTTTTGTGGGTGATTTGTTAAAGTTGTAATTCAGAGATGCATGTGGAACACAAATCAGAATACCCATCAGCCCTCAGGGTCCCGAGCTCCCTTTATTGATCAATTTCTCACTTGTTGTCCTCACCTTTAATAACAGGGGATTAAGGGTGACCTGTAAGACTGATGGGTTGGGGCTCCTCAGGACCATAATCTTTGGGGATCTTTGACCTTGATAACCAATAATAAAAGATTCTTACAAAAAATAATGAGGGTCATTCAAAAAATGAAATACTGTAAATAGGAGTTTCTATCGAACCACTGCTCACTCAATACAAAATAAAGCAGATGTTTTCAAAAAATAATTCCTTACACTTAAATGGCACTTTTCTGGACTTTCCACTCAAAGCGCTTTACAGGTAATGGGGACTCCCCTCCACCTCCACCAATATGTAGCCTCACCTGAATGATGTGACAGCAGCCATATTGTGCCAGTACACTCACCACACGTCAGCTATCAGTGGGGAAGAGAACAGAGTAATGAAGACAATGTATAGATGGGGATTATAAGGAGGCCATGATTGGTAAAGGCCAGGAAGACATTTTGGCCAGGACACCAGGGAAACAACCCTATTCTTTTCGAGAAATGCCCTGGGATTTTAATGAGTCGGACAGCGAGTCAGGACCTCGGTTTTACATCTCATCCAAAGGACAGCGCTGGGGCTTTAAGACCCACACAGACTGCCCCTTCTGGTCTCACTTACACCTTTCCCAGCAGCAACAGCAGTTTTCCCAGAAGGTCTCCCATTCAGGTATTGGCATTGACTAAACTCACACCTGCTAAGTTTCAGTGTGTTGCTAGTTGTGAGTTGCGGGGTGATATTTTTAAAATCCTTAAATTAGAAGGACAACGAAGTTCCAATGAAATCATTCCCCCAAGGTGTGCCTGTCAAGATTTATTCTAATGGCAGTTTTCTTAAATTTAAAAATATATAATTTCCAAAGCCAAGTCCGTTTTATGGAGAGTTTCCATTAACAGTTTCTGAGCTGCTGTTTAAATCATTTCACTAGGTCAGAGAAAGCTTGCTGCTCCAGTTCCGAGTAAGGACTGGTTTTCGTTCTCATTAGTTGACTCCTTATGTAGGTGAAGAGGAGAGATATGGCTTTAGCCTAATTGTTTTGCAACCCATGTGATTGTAGATTAACAAAGCTTGAGAAGGGTGTGTAAGGGAATGTTTTTCCTGGGTGAAAGTTAGAAAAATTGCACATTATGGTCAAAAATAAAACAGTCAAAAATATTCATCCATCTATCCATTTTCTAACCTCTTCATAAAATTCAGGGTTATGGGGGACCCGGCCAGCAATGAGCACAAGGCAGGATACACCTTGGATGGGGCGCCAGTCCATCGCAGACAGTAGTACATTTGCTAATACTAATTTAAAAATTAATGTTGGTCCACTCCAAAGTGTAATCAATTTATAAATGCACCATTGTATTTTAAAAAAAAAACTAGGATCCTGAACATTTTATACCAATGCAGTTTAATATCACAGCTCCTGGAAATACTTCAGTGAGTGGATTTTTATGACTTGAAAGTGAAGACAGGGTTCTACTAGACTTCTGTTTATAAAAACTACAGGCTGAGATGACACTTTTGTGTGTCAGCTGCTGTTTCATTACTGTAAAGTTACCTGTAAATGGCTCAGTGAGAATTTTTCACAAATGCAATATTGGCACATTCCAGTAAGCATGTAAACTGTTTTACTGTCAGCTCCTCGACCAAACTGAACAGTAGATCATTCTTCTATCGATGGAGCACATTGGACACTACATGGTGAGAAACAGTACCTGAGAATGCAGAATAAGGAGTTGCTCTCATTCCACTTCACATATGGTCTATATATACTGTATACACACAGCTGGGAAATGTCTGCATTGTAAAGACTACATCCCGCCACCCACATCAGACGATAAGCAGCTGTTCAGACGGCCTAGAATTTACAGTCAGAAATAAAAAAAAATTCTGCAAAGAGGAGCAAAAAAAGAGAAACAAAACTGCAATCCAAATACAAATCTGGAACTGCTGTAACATAATGCCGGCATACTATTTAATTTGCCAGAGAGTGATTCGGATTTTGTCTTCCCACATTCCGTGGTTTTGGACTGCTGCTGTTCTCTGTGATGTAATTATGTCCAGAGCAGTGAATGAAAACATTGGTTAGGAATGAAGCAGAATTCTGTAGAAATTCCAGAGAAACTCGAGCCAGGCTCTGGCAAATACAGTATCATATTAATAGTAAAAAGTTAAGACACGTTTGGCATGACTGTCTGAAAAATCAGTTTCTTCTTCAAATTTTCATAGTGTTTTCACTAGATGCCATGTACTAGTTCTGAAACTTCTGGAAGGAAGAGATTGGTGATTTCTAAACCCCTATACCTTTAACAGCTGTTGTTGATATCATCATAAAGATGGTGTGCACTGCCCCACTTTGGCATAATGCTGTATTGCAACTCGCTTGCAGATTGATTATTATGATGGCGTTTTGGTGCTATAAAATGACTGCGAGCCCACCAGCTGTATCTCCAGCATGTTCTGCCATTTTAAAATAACTTACATCTCTTAGGAAGGTATAGGTAGAAATAACGTATTTATTTCAGTCTCTAGTTAGAGATACAGTATGGTTCTATAACCCAAAGTAGAACAGAAGATTAACAATGGAAGTGAACAGCCTGGAGCTTAACTTGACAGTTTGAACAACATCTGCATTTCAGCATTAAACACTGGTTTGACATTTGACTGACTTCACACTCTCAAAGAGACCCGTTATACTGTCAACCGCTAAGCAAAATATTTCAAAAAGTTCAAAAACAGAAAAACAATAAATACATTAAAAATACATTAAAACTGGGACTAAAAGCTTTTTAAGGTACAACAATGTAAAATTCTTTTACAGACATCTTTCTGTTGAAAAGGTGGATCTTTCATTCATAACTCTTGGCTAATGCAACATTTTCAAAACTGTTTTTTTACCTACTGTACATTAGTCATACCTCCCTAAAAGCATGTCTATTTGTATGACTTGTTGATTTCTTGTATAAACCCTTCATTTCATTTTAACTAAATATGGCAAGAGTTTCATTACCATCCCACAACTAATTTAAACAAATAACCCTTCAGCCTGAACAGCAGTGATCTCCCGAAACTTTTGTACATTTCAATTCGAAATGTTTTAGGACATGCAGTTTATTACACTAGGAAATAATAAATTAAATCAGCTCTCAAAAAACAAAGAAACAATTGAAACAAACAACCCAAACTATAAATGTAAATATGCCTTATAAAGGATTCCCTATTAAAGTAAAAATAAAAATAAGACCTCTCTAGGGCATTAGGTAACAGTAAATGACCATTAAAACATCCGTCCACTCTACTGACATGTCTCTATCTGTTTCAGGCAGTTGACTGCAGGGTCTTCTGTGCTGGTGCTCCCAGCATGCATTGCGACTCCCATGACTAGCTGGCTGTGTGCTCAGTCACGTCAGCCCATTGCAGCCTGCATGTGCTCGTAAAAGAGTTAAAATCTCCCACAGTGTTGAAAAGAACTGACATTACTGGATGAAGATCCACCTGGGCCGGTATCTCCTGGAGTGCGTTTTAGGCAGGACTGAGAACTGGCCAGTGTGAGAATGGGAATGTGAAACCAGTTGGTCAGGCCTTTTCTCCTCCCAAGTTCTCGACTCTTGTTTCTCTGCCACCAGTCCCTAGTCCTGAATCTACCTGAATGATACTTTCTTGGGTGGCCTCTTCTATTGATCATTGAGCTCAGTTTGATATAACTGTTTGCCACTCTCTTTCAGCGTTGTCAATAGTCCATATCTCCCAAAACACTCCACAATGAAGAGGTTCAGTGCCCTCCCCTCTATGCATATGGCATAGTGCCGGAATTAGAACTCTGAATTACACATCTGGGATTTTTTCTCTGTAGAACGTTGTCTAGAATAGCCACAATATCCTTATGTAATGCACTGACTAGATTAAGGACACACTATCCTAAGTGATATTGCACTTGTAAAGTCTTAGTGTGTCTTGTTGATTTTGATTACAGCATTTTCTCCTTAAAATAAAGCACAAGGGCAACATTTAGTGGAGTGGTTGGTACCATTTATTTAATTTAATCCTTCATGCTGGTTGATGCGTTGTCTTGGGGATCCATACTAATTTTGCACAGGTTTCACTGCACAGTGCTTTAGAGATTGGTACTGCAATACTGTTCATCTCCACAAAAGCTTCAATGCTAAGAAGCTGTCTGAGAAACCATTTATTTTAATGTATACATGGATATGTAAAAGAAAGTAAAAAGTCTCAAGGAATTTGACAGTGTGGGACATCTTCGGGAAACATTCTGTTTGATTTTGCCCAGACTCAAATTCTTACTGCTGCTTTCCTTCAGGAAACAGATGCCGATCTTTGCCAGTGCCAACCAGAGAGATATAGTCCCCATTCAGCCTAGAAGCTTGCCCTGATGTAGTGAAATCTTGCATTGAACTGTCCATGTTTGAAACAGCAACCCTTCTTCCTTTGTTTTGTCCCCATTGCCTCTGGTTTGGACACATCTGATTGGTGGTGAACTCTGGGTTCCCAGCATGCACTGGGTGGCACATGGCTCTGGTTTTCAGGTTGTCAGCTTGCTTGGTCATGCTATTGTCTACTGTGCTGTCCTCAGTGCTGGTCCATAGGTTCTCATAGGAGCTGGTACTTGATGTTAGCGTGGTGGAGCCCGAGAGCTGACTGTAGGACCTGTCTCGGGAACTTGCTGGCCATACACTGTATGATTGCTCAGGGGTGTTCAGTAAAGCCAGGCTGGGACAATGCAAGCTCAGTTTGTACTTCTTGGGTGTGTCCTTGAGAACTGTAATAGAATGGAGCCGCAGTCAGTGTCCTAGCAATATACACTCAGGCGGATGACATGCAGCTTCACTAAAGCACCTCATTATTTGACATTTCTGAGCCACTCTACCAAATCTAAAGCCTTTGAGTTCATTAATCTTGACAAAATAGACATATACAGTATAGTACAGTAAATGATACACAGCCAGCTTTTTAAATTAGCCTTACTGTATACACTTAGAATATTTGCAGAAATACATTTGCCAGATTCACAGATACAGTTCTTCACAATTACCACTTTTGAGTGGGGAGCAGGTTGCTAGGTAGCCGCAAGAATTTATTCATTTATTAGTGAACATAGTTATTGTTATGGCTTAGTTGGAATAAAAAAATAGCTCTTCACCTCAGAACAATATATTTTTTTGAGAGTTATTAGTTCAAAAAAGTAATACACAGATGTGAAATCTGAGAGTATCTTTAAGTGTACTATTAAGAATGACAGTGGGTCACAGCCTTACTGACATCTGACCTCTGGCCTTTGGCTCGCAAGCATTATAGGGCTATAATGAGCCTATGAGTCAGTCTTTGACATTTAGTTTTCAACAGATCAAAATGCTCTACATGTGACATAATACTGCATAATTAAACTGTTTGGCATTAATCTAATGTGTGTATATTCTTTACCACTTACAAAAGTTTTGGCTTTCAAATGTGGTTCCTTGAAAATATGATCAATTTTGGTGTCTTCCTGTGGTTTAACTGTGCTTGGAACATTATTGCTCCTGCTTAACAATGGATTTTCAGTTTGTGCAACTTTTTACTTCCACACCTCTGTTCTTAACTGTTAATTCAGTGTTAATTTTTCTCACTATCATGGTATACCAAACTAACATTAGTTAGATTTACATTTACATAGATTTACATTTGGATTATCTGCTTTGTCTTCACACAATCCTATTTTTGGTTTGGAACAGCATGTAGTCGGGACTTTCTCAGTCAAACCAGCCCTTAACAAGACAGTTTGAAAATCAGTTCCTACCGCCTCTTATCTCTGTTGTCAGAGCTTCTTTCAGCACACTGTGGAAGATGTTGTCAATGTGGAGGAAATCGCTGTAGTCTGAAAACACCATCTGTTCATACTTGGTCAAATGCTGCACACAGAGAAACACAGAACAGAGTAATTCTAAACCCAATTCTTTCAGTTAATTCTTTGGTTAGTATCTGGGGTTTTGTTGATCAGTTTAACAAGGGCACCTTTAAGTAAGGGAATCTTTTTCATTTATGGAACCAGCAGTATAAACAGAACAAAATGATTGTCTTCATGAAGCAGAATGTTTGAGCTAGTCCTGTAGTTAAATAACCTGCTCCTTAATCAAAGGATGAGGACAAAGACAAATAAAAAATGCAACAGCTTTAAAAGGAAACTGCAATGCCATTTTTATAGTTCGGGGTTAGAAAGAATCAGCATTGATAAGTGCATTTCAAACCACAATAAAAGTGAAATGTGCACAAAGCTCCTAAAACCTCCAATTTGCGATCACAAACTAGACGAAATTTCCAGGAATGTGCAGCACCTTATTCTGCGATTTAGAATGAGGCAAAAAAAACTTCCGGTGATGTAAAAGCAGCCCAATTACATTGTAAACAAACAGGCTTGTGAATGCAGTACGTCTCTTTTAATCCAATAGAAAAATTGCTCTCGATTTTGAGACGGTTTTGCCGACAAATCCAACTTACTTGTTAACTCTGCATTCAGAACACGTTGGAGCACTTCTGTGGTGAAATGTCTGCTGCACAACCTGCACTCATTTGCTGTCACATCACATTACATTAGTCACTATGGAGACCAGCGAGCAGGAAGGGCTGCATCACGTCACAATTAGCGCAAACTCCTACTTTCGTCTGTGGCGAGATCAGGGATTTGTGATAAAATGGTGACTTCTAGTACTTTCACAGATTTCATGATTTTGTGCTCAATTTGAAATTTGTAAAAAAAAAAATGTTCAATGATTTTTTTGTTACCGAGATTTAATGACCAGTCTGAGAAACTGGGACTGCAGTTCCCCTTTATAGGCAGTTGGATTGGTAAGAAATCAAGATCAAAATGCTATGGCCTTAGTTTTCCCTATTGCTAAGGATACCCTCTTTATAGATCATGTGGCTGGGTAATGATTCCAAGGGAAGGCTGGCATTCCACCTACCAGTTTGCATCTGGGCACCAGTTCCTTGAGCAGCATTGGCAGGGCGATGTGAAGCAAGGCGTCGCCTGCCAGCTGTGCCTGCAGTACTACCAGGTCATGATCCAGCTGCTGTGGACAGGAAACAGGTAAAGTTAGATTAAAGTGTGTCGCAAAGCAGAGTGGCTCCAGTAACATCACATTAAGCAAACTTAAAGTCTCATATAATGGAGTGCTAGTCCTTTACTAGTTAACTCTCATAATAAACCTACATACCTGGGTTGACAGGAGTACATTCCCCATACATGGACTGATGACAAAATACCTGCTAAATGCAGTCAAGTGCAGGGCTTGACTTGCCCACTCCACTGCGCGAACTTGTGTGAACATGTGAAATGAAAGCGCGCACACGATCACCTCTCGTTCACGAGCAGGAAAACCACTTTCCTGAGCATAGACTGACCTTGAGGACGCGGTCGTGCACCCTCTGCAGAGCCTGGCTGAGCTGTGCTGGGCTCAGGGAGTAGCTGAACTGCAGCGTCAGAAGGCGTCGGAAGGTGAAGACCGCACTTTCCAGCAGCTGGAGGGTCAGAGAGGGTTAAATTTGCCCCTGGCCTTTGACAATCTTGGCCTCTTAATAATAGCGTGCTTGCCGCCTACCTGCTGCACAGCGCTCTGTGCCTGGAGTACCAGAGGCCTACAGCTCTCGATCCCCCAGCTTTCCTGCCACCCTTTCTGCCTTTCTGCTGCTGTTTCCAGGAGCAGCAGACAGTCTGACAGCCGCGCCGAGCCGACACCGAGACTACACAAAGGGCTCACCAGCTGAGGAGAGACAGAGGCCGCAGCTAAGTGGAACACATGGTTCTTGACTTTTTTGGGCTGTTACTGGCAATGCTGCTACTTACTGAAGTACTCATTCAATTCTGACAAAACTTCTAAAAACTATAAGAAGGAAGCACGGTACAAAGGTAGCAAAGCTCCCAGGCACTCAGGCCTGTGCACAACTGCCCCATATTCCTCCTGTCACTTCCTGTCAGGTTAAATTATGTGAAAAGTTGTGAGGTGAAGTATTATTGGTCCATCTTTAATCATGCATGTCCTTTGCAGAACTCTTGTCTGTAAATGGTGTGCTAAATCCCCTTCTTTGGGAATATGCTGCAATACCCAAGTCAGCCTATGCTGATTTTAAACAGAATCAGACTGGTTTGCCATCAATTGATTGTGTATATGTCTTCATCTCAAATCAGCACAGGAACAGTGGAGAGCTAACTTGCCTGTGACATCTGTCAGAATGACCAGTGAAATTTCAGAACGAACAGTTAAACATGAAACTCAGGACACAAGAATAGACTATGTGGAAGTCCATTTAAAACTGAGTATAGAAGGCACTGTTTTACCCAAAGGGTGGTTGGAGTATTTAACAGGTTACCCAGCTGTGTTGCTGAAGCTGATACCGTGGCTTCTTTCGAGACATACGTAAATAAGATCCTTGGCTCGATAAAACTACTAACTACAAAACAGGCTTCCTGGGGAAAATGACCTCCTCTTGTTTGAAACATTTCTTATATATTTTTTTAAAGAAATAAACACTGTTTCAAGTCGACTCTTAGCCACTGCACAGCTAGGGCTGTGGTCTGTATTAAATGAGTGGTCTGTATTAAATGAGCCTCACACCTTGGTTCTTTATATTATAATCATAAAATGTCTCACGTCCCACCTCCTGCAGTGATTGGCCAGTGCAGCCTGTGCAGATGATGTCACCGCAGACATCCAGAAACAGCTGTCTGATGGCAGCCAATCCGGCGTGGAGGGGCGTGGCCAGCTCCTCGTAGGTTGAGTTCAAAGTAGGAGTGACCAGACGTGTTACACACTGCTCGATCTCCAGGGACATTTCATCTGCCAAAAGAAACGGACACACAAAGGCAGATGTTAGATGTCATGGTGAAATGATTAAAAGCAACACAGCTACAAAGTATCATTATCATGATGTTTCATCCCCCTCAGTAAGGCAGAGATCAAGATATCTCACATTTCTGTGTACCTTTCACATTCTGATATTCGGTTTTTGGGCAAATAATAAATGTGAGAATGTCATTGATCTGTTTCTTGCCCTCTGGATTAGTACCCGAAATATCAATCCACCTGCGGGGGTAGAGAAACCAAAAGCAGGTCTTTCCTGAACACCACATCTGTAAATGCCTACTTTATCCACCACACCTAAGGAAACTTTGTGGACCTTGATCGACCTTTTATCCTCTAATATTCTGCCAATGACATTAGACTGTAACCGGGCACGTGACTGGCTCTGAGTCTTCAAACCTTCCTTCTGAATGTCTCTCTACCTGTGATACTCTGAGCAATTTGGTCTTGCAGTGTGCTGATCTGATCCAGGTCAGAGCGAATCTGTCTTTCCAGCTGAGGGCGCCGTTGAGTGACCTCCTTCATCAGCACACTGAGCTCCACAGTCACCTGGGACAGGACTAGACTGTACACTTGTGAAAGTAGCTAGGAGAAAAGATAGGGCACGAAATTAATACAAGCATTCATTACACATTCTGGGCTTTTCTCTCAGAAAGTTTTGTTTATTTCATAAACCCACACAAATAATTAATTGACCCAGATGTTCCCCTGCTCTTTCTGCATTTTATTCCCATTGCTTTCACCTAATGGTGCGATTCCCAACAGAAAAATATCACTTTGAGCATTTTATTTTATTTTGTGAATTGTTAAGCCTCATACATCACCCCTCAATCTTGATCCTCATGAGTCATAGCTCTGCAGCTTTTATAGGGAACCCAAACTCCCTGATAACCAAAATCCTGGAACCAGTCGAAATTGCTTCCATGTATACCAGTAATTAATCCAATTAACTCATTAAGAGCTCGAGTTTGAAAAGGAAACGTTTCAAGACCTGGTGCAAGGATCGCTGGTATTAGGAAAGAAGCCAGTACTGTACAGTGAATAGGTTGTGATAACAAATAGAAGTGGTGATAAAAATGTCTAAGGCTTGTTCAATCATCCTCACATCACTTTAATTGTTTTAATTCATAAAAAAATCACAGTTTAAAGTCAGTAACAAAGACATTCTGGCAGGCTGATGCCTGTGATCCACATGGTAAAACATACAATACACAAGATATCGTAAATTAATAGAGAGCTGAGGTTCTGTGAAGGGAGGTAGCAAAGGCTTCTCACCTGTAACCACACATATCCCTTCTTGCTCTTCGAATGCACCAATCGGGGAAAGAGCTGATCTCTCAGAGCAGGCAGGAGATCTTCGACGATGACGCTGGACAAGACCTAAAGACACAGATAGAACATACACTGGACGTACAGCACGGTCGGAGGTGAGAGCTGTCACAGCCTTTTTTGAAAAACCTAGCCAATGTGACAAACAAAAACACGAGCAGGAGGAGCTGTCATTTTCTCCGGCAGTTGAGAACAGGTGCTTTCGTAAAAAAAGAAGGGTGGCATTTATTTGCTTCCCTGTGGTGGTTTTATATAAAGAGGTACAACTAAGAATTAGATTAGATAAACATTGTTTAAATACACTTTATGATAAATTGTCATGGTTTTAGATCATATGCTGACAAGCCAAGTCAGTCAAATCCACTCTTACAACAAGTCCATCTTTCATGGTATTCCTCATGAAATCTCAAGGAAGCACATCAAAGTATAGCAAAGCAGAGTAAATGCATGGTGAAGTATGGCAAAATAGTGTGTTAGGTGATACACTCTGATAGACACGGCAAACCATGGCACAGTTCATGGTATAAGTTTGGTAAGAACATGGGAAAACCTCCAACATACTGTGCAAACGTTACACAGTAAACCTTCCTTAGTGATGAGAGGTCACAGAGATGGGCAACAGAAAGCACAAAACTGGATTAATAAAAAATGAAATTTAGACAACAAAATGCACACCAGATGGCCAGGAAATAACTTGAGGCACCCATTAAAACAAAATGAGTGTTTCAGCCAGAACAAAGAACTAATTTCCCAATTTCCTCTTATTTACCCTCTGTTGGTTTGTTTCTTTGTATTCAATAAATAACAAAATATGTTAGAAATAATGGAAAGAGTGCCAGGGAATTGTTTGAGATGGGAGCCATTTTCTTACCTCCTCCTCTGACCCCATTGCCAGGACCCCTGTGGCATAGCTGCCCTTCTCTTGCCTGTAAAAACGCACAGCTTCCAAGAAGGCTCTGGTTTCAACATTCCCTTTCCTCTGGAGTACTGAAAGATATAATTTCTGGGTGAAGCTGGTGTCCAAGCTCTTTTTATGTCACTGTCTCATGCAATTGCAAGTACCAGCTCCTTGGGTGTTAAAGTCAGCTAGCCCCCTTCCCCTGACCTCCAAAAGTAAATCCATTGAATGATTGTGGGAGTATGGAACAAGCTACCCAGCCATGTTGTTTAAGCCACTACCTTGGATTCATTCAGGAAACAGAACCAACAGCTATGGCCTCCCCTCATTTATAAACTTATGCTGCCATGTTGCCAAAAGAGAGCACTGAAAAAAAAGAACACAATTGTAATATCCTAGTCTAATTTAACCAGAGATCTGCCATACAATATATATTTGAGCATTTCATTTCTCTTCCATATCGGTTTCCCCTCTTGCCAAATGAGCAGCTTCAGTAATTTACAGAAGGATTGTTTTTCCTCAGGGACTAAAGGCTCTGACACGCCCCCATCCCCCCCCCCGTGTCGCTGAGAACAGCGTGTTTTCTTACCTGTGCTGTGGTGCAGCACAACGGACTGCAGAACCCTTTGCCACTGTAGCTGCGTTTCCTTGGAGTTTGTTGCCACGCACAACGGCGCGAGGTAGGGGTGGTGGATGAAGACAGGGAACTCAGTGGGGCATTCGGAAAAGGGCATCTTGCCACCCTGGCTACCTAGAATATAATAGACTCTAATGGACGGAGAACCACTGAGAAATGTGATTTTGCAAGTAACTGAGTGACTAAGGACTGTTTCATGCCCTCGTAGCATGACTTCTTATGAGACCTTTCATATTCTTTATTCACGTTGCTGGTCATTAAAGTTGTTGTCCCACTTCTTATTAACTAATATTTTCATTTCTGTCTAACCTGTTGTGGATTCACAATATCTCCTGTCTGTTGCACCATGTTGTCTCAGGTTACGGATCCTGACTAGCCTCTAGTTTAAATGGAGGTATTTAACCTGTCTCTCCTAGTGCAGCAGTCAGTCTGTGTATTTGTTTGGTTAGCATAGCCTGGTGTGAGTGCTGTATCAAAGCTGGGACTGTATTAACCTTACACTTCTTAAAAACTGTTGGTGGGGAATTTTCTGGAAAACTCCAGATTTAATTTTTTATCATGTGTTTTGACCCCTTCTTTTGTGCTTTTCTTTGCACAAGCACATTTGAGAAAAGGGACCCTGTTTTTGCACTACTTTGCACTATTTGTGCATCCTGATTGTTTTTAGTTAGAATTTGTTTAGAATTTTGTTAGTTAAAAATACTAGAATGCCAGGTAAAAAATTAAAACATTGTGAAAATACAAAACCACAGCACCAAAAAACAAGCCAAGCAAATACAAGTGCGCGTGTTGGCTATATTAAAATTAAAGACATCTTCAAACATAACTATAATTTGGGCTTTGTTGGATGTAAATTATACCTCAAATTATGCCTTAGCTGGATTTAAATTATGCCTGAAAAAAACAATTGAAAGTTCACCTCCAAAGTTAACCAATACATTTTTAGTGAGACCTCAAAGTCATCCAATAAATCTGCTCAGTTTTATACAGTTTTGGATCTCTACAGGTAGATAGGCAGCCTGAAAATGAAACTTGGCTATTCACTGATTTATTGAGTGAAACAAAATACTTCCTTGTGTTTATTTGTCAATGATGTGACTTTTAATTGAACACTTGTTGAATCTAACAAATTTATTTAACATTAAAAGAGTGTAGAAAAGCTGTATGCACAGCCCATCAAATACCTTTGATGTGTTGGCACATCGTGTCCAGCAGGCGGCAGTGTTCCTCTAGAGATGTGGAGACCTGGGAGCCCGTTAAGATTAGAGTGGTTTTGCATTCCCAGCCTTTCTCAAACACCTGCACAACACAAAGTGCGTGAGCTGTTGACTTCTTGGATGAACACGAGCTGTTGACTTCTTGGATGAACACAACCTGACACTTCACAGCAGGAGAAAACATTTACTCATTCAATTTTTTCCTTGTTGTATACCTGCTTAATTTAATCTTTGTGTTGTGGTTCATGTGAAAAGTAATCACGGAGGATTTGGTTTTCTGACTTCCTGGCAAACAGGGTCTCCCATACTTCATGGTCTCATTCTTCTCATTTTCAGAGGGTGCTACTGTACATTAAAACAATTACAAATGCCAAACTAAGTGGGTGCTTAATAATAAAAATAGGAACTGGCAGTTTCATAATAAGATAAGTTTTATCATAAGAGAAGATATTAATATATCTTTGACATGTATTCCAAGACTGCAATACTTTTAAATAGATCAATTCTGCTTCATCTGATTTAATAACACAGTACTACAAATGGGGGTGGTGGTGGTGGGGGGGGGGGTTAGAGAAATTTTCGATGTCTAATTCAGTTATCAATTATAAAAAGCTTAAGACTTGGGCAAGGTTAACTCATTCCAATTATCACTGTACATCCAATGGATATCCAGGAGAGTGTAGTAGGAGAAGCTGGGGTCTAACCTTCCAAGCAATGGACACAACATTTGATCACCCCGAATGGGATGCCAGTCCACAAACACGAACACACACGCTCACACCAGGGCCAATATTCCAGAAGCCAAATAATGGACCAGTATGTCTTTGGACATTAGGAGGAAATAGAAGCACCTGGAGGAAATCTAAGAAGAACATACATATTCCATGTAGACAGAACCCCAGGTCCAGAATTGAACCCAATGCTACGAGGCATCGATGCTGCCTCCAATACTCAATATATTTAATTTTAAAAATTCTCTATGGCACAATGCTAAATACTACTCACCTGTACTGTATTATTTTACTGTGCTAATTTTGAGAATGGCATTGTTAAAAGACAAAACATTGTATCTGGAACACAGCAACATTTTTAAGTCATCCTGAATAAAAATTTTACAATTTTGATAACAATGAGTTGATTCCACTCCCTACCTCTTTGGAGTCCCGACTCTCCACTGCAAATTCTTTTGTCACCAGGAGGTGGCGCTCTCTCCACTTGCCATCCTGGAACACCTGCAAGTTCCCCTCCAAAACCACGTCACTCCCTGACACTGCATCCTGGGATACAGGATGATACATACAATTTGGTCATGCCTGGAATTGCTAAAAACTGCATTACTGAGCTACAGATTTGTTTGTGGCATAATATGAGAAATTGTGACTCGTAACCCTTACTGGATTGTGCAGAAGTCGAGTGTCACAGCCTTTCCTGTGCCCAACTTCCTCTTGGATGTGCTCCAGGAGAGCAACCGGCAGCTGTCTTTGATAGTGTGGGGCAAAATCCTTCAGCACTGCTCCTGTGTAACCTGCAGCAAGGAGAGAAGGAGATTACAGCACGGTGAAAAATGGGGATCGGCAGGAATCACTGCATCTGCGACCTTTTTCCCCTCTTGAGCAGGAGAGATCAAGTCTGGGGTTTCGGTCCTACGAAATGTATTAATCTGATCAAACACAAACAATTGCATTTCATTCGCAAATCAAACGAGCAGGGCTCCAAGGAAGTTCAAGCAGGTAAAAGTGCTTGCTCAGAGCGCAAGCTGAGCCCTTATCACCCAGACGTCTCTGGCAGGAGCCTGGGGTCACTTGACCAGCCAGCTGGGAGAAAGCAGGAGGATGGGCATCACCTGGCCAGAGAGGATCCTCTCCAATGTGTGCAGAATAGCCAATAGCTCGATGCTTGCTGTGACAATAACAAGGCAATTATTACGATTTTAGGAACTTGTATAACTCCACACGTCTGGGAAAGCCTCCTCAAAACATGATACAACTACAGATGAAATCTCTAGCTTATAAAAATGTCAAGTTCCTCTTTCAAAACAATGCAAACTGTATCCTATACTAATATAGTAATCATTTATTTTCAGCCATTAGGTTGCAAAAGGCTGTGACTGTGGGATTTCGGAGAGAATGTCACATTACAGTTCAGAGTGACATTGCAGTTCAGCTATTTTGGGAGTCTGATGCTGGAAATAATGTGAGATCACCAGACACCTAGACAAAGACGTCTCATTGTGGGACAGCTGACATTGAACTTTGAACCCTCCCCACAGTCGGCGAGGAGAATGGGGGAATAGAGACTCTTCAGGAGAAGACAGGATGGCCTGTTTCAAGCTTTACAACAATCAATTGTTCCTTCAACTTTACACACTTGGGAGTTTGGAAAGATGGCAAGGAACTAATGGATTTTGAATTTTCTATTTTTGATAAGCAGGCGGGTGCTTTAAAGTGAAATTGGCACCATAGCACACTGATCTTACAAGAATACTATACATTCTTGGAATCTCACATGAACGCATCTTTCTGTATTGACCTTCCCATTCATTTCTTCATACAGTTAACCTGTTCAAGAATTTGAAATGTTTGGACATTAGTGTTTAATTCCTATAGGAGTCATATAACTTTTAAAATGGTTTTAGGTTCCGAGAGTCCCCCTTTGTGACTGATTATAAATTTATATCAATGATATCTCAAGAATTATTCTGCTTGTTCAATTTCTCGGTGACCATTCAACACAGATCTCACCTCATACTGTTTTTTGTTTGAGCATTGCTGACAATGGCCCAGGTCATATTAGAAGCACAGAAGTACCTCGAAGCACAGAAACATATTTCATATACCTTCCTTGACATCTGCACCCCATCTTCTATTCCTGAATTAGAAGATGGGGTGCGCTCTGACACCAAGCTTCTCTTCCTGTCTGTGTGTCTGTGTGAGCAAGTTAGGGTAAGCAACAAGACATATTCCTAATACAAGAAATTGTATATGGCCAATAAAGTGATCTTATCTTAAAAACAATCTCATCTCAGTTAATCAAAAATGACCTAAAGCCACTGTGAGAGAAGCGTTTAACGAGGCTATTAAGGTGATGTCACACTTCTGTTTTCTCAATAGCATTGAAACTCCTGGCCAAGGGATCAGTCTTTTCCTATGAGTTTGGCTCTTATATGGGAGTTCAGGTGTTCAACCAGGACTTCAGTGAGTGTTCTAACACAAAATGCTAAATAGATTTCCTGAAAGCCAGTTTTTGCTAGGAATATGTACTTAAAATGGGAAAATGACAGTTCAATGTGCAAAACCGGAAAAATTCTATAATAAGCACCAGTTATAAGACAGGTATTTGGGAATCATTTCACACAAAACAAGCAGAACTCCCACGCCACAACGTAATGCTTGTCATCAGCAGATCTCACATTCCACAAGTTGTGCCCATATCCCTGGGCTATGGACAGTGATAGTAAAGAGTGGCATTGATGCCCGAAACTGAGGCATGTTGAATAAACAAGGATTGCTCATTTAGTCCCTGACGGCTAGGTGGCTCAGGCTCACACCCCCCTATCAAGGTCAGACAGCTTTTTCAATTTACACACAAATCGCTAACAAGAAGCTTTGCTTTCCATACAGGTTTCCATTCTGAGAAATTAATTTGTCATTCATCTGAGTAGGGTAGGATTACAACTATGACGCCAGTGCTTGCCTCGTTCTATACTCACATCTGATAATTGGACATCTTCTCTTTTAAGCTCTTCTTTGTAAGACTGGTGTTAAAAAAACACCTAAGGAGATCTCTCTGTTACTAGCTGTCTGGTCCTGATGAAAGTGCTACTGTGACTTGCTATTGGAATTTCTCCTTTCACACGAATTGACAATGGCAACAGACTGACTTCCATAGTGCCACCTGAAAGGTATGATACAGTGTAAGTCACTACAACCTTACCTGCTAAGTGTTTGCGTTGTCTGGCATCTAGATGTCCAGAATGTAGTCCCCCCATTTCTCAAAGTCTTGAAATGAATAAGAGAAGAACAATCAGCAAAGCAAAAACCCACAAATGCTCCACGGAGTACAAATAATGAAATACTGACAGATGGTCTTCCTGAAATGTAATACCATACGTCCAGATATCAAAAGAGCACTCGGGACATAGGGAGTCTCAACCACATGGCTTCTCTTTTGATCAGGAGCAGGTAAGTAGTAAAGACAGATTTCTGTTGTTTCCCACTCTGCTAACGCTGTGGCTCTTTTGTGATTGCGGAACGGTGAAAGAGACTGATCTTCCTTTCCCAGGTCAGCTCACAGACTCGTCTCTCCTTCCCCTGTGATGTTTATCAAGTCTGCGCCTTACAAATATCAGCGGTTACGGTTTGTGCATCTCTGCCCCCAGCCTCTGACTTTTCTCTTTGCATCTTCTGGCCCAGGTCTCTTCATCCTTCCCCTTTCTGTGTTGCTCTCTCTCTCTCTCCACACCCCGCCCCCCTCCACTCCCTTTCTGGATACCAGCTTGTTTGCTGTAAACACGGGGCCACTTTCTGTCCTCTCCGTCTTTTTCTCGTTTTTGCAAGCTAGGAAATCTCTACTTCCTCCATTGAGGATTCTCAAATGCTCTATTCCCTCTTCAGTCCTGCTTCCGGGACACTTGTCTTAATTGTCCTCCACTAGCAAGACCCCCCTTCAGCTTTGTGCCTTTCAAGAGCTGTAACAGAGGAGGAGAAGAGCTGTTTTGCCTCCTCTCTTCCTCAGCCCTCAAACCGGTCTTTTCCATCCTCTTCTTTTCCCGTTTTGAGTTGTTTTCCCAACAACTATACTGAACACCAGCTGCTTTTTAATACATTTTTTGTGACTTTTTTGTTAATTATAACTGTGTTCCCCATCTCGCACAAAATTATTTTCCTTGAAGCATTATTTTCCCCCATCTTCTATCGTCTTCTCTCCCTGTCTCTCTTGCTCCAGCTTTCTATCCTCTCTGCTTGTAAGTGTAGTCTCCCTCCTGATCCATGTCTCATGCTTGGGGATTGATTATTGTTTAGTATCCATTCCACTGTAATCCTTGGTGGTTCAGTTTGACTCAGTGTCTTACACCCTGCCACTCACCCTCTGTCCTGCTTTCCCCAGAAGCCTCGGATTTGTGCTGAGTGTGCCCTCACTCGCGCTCAAAGCTCCCTGTCCTTCCCTTCACCTAGCAATTAAATTGTTCCGATTCTTTGTGCTCGCTTGCCAGTCTCAAAAGACCGGGCAACCAGCGACTGAGGCATTAATAAACATCCCACTCAGCTTTCTTACCCACGCAAAAACCGTCAGATCTGCAAACAGGCAAACCTTACAGTGATCTTCGCACACGTCTTCTTTGGTACCAGTTTATGTTCAGCCCTTTGTTTAGAACTTTTCAAATTGCTCAATTGTTCATGCATTTATAAATATATATAAGACTATAAAGCCAAAAGAAAGAAAGCTTTAAAAGATGCAACATAAACATTTTTGAGAACTTTAAGAATAGTCCTGCAGCCAAAATGATGAACAGTCTAACAATCAGAGAGCAAAGTCTTATTCTAGACAAGTGCAAGGATTGTGGATCATAGGTTAATGCAGTGAGACCAAGAGTGTTTATCCAGGCACAGCAGCAACACAAAAAATCAATCCTAATCTTGAAACATGTTTTGATCCTAAATTGGATAGCAGGACAGGTGTAACATTGTTGGGACTCAAAACCCAACCAATTTCCAACAGAACAGTGCAGAATGGTCACAGATGCACTAGCATAACACTTCATCGACCAGACAAAGACAAGAGCCAGAACTGAGGAGGGATCAGAAATGGCAGAGTTTCCAGTTTCACGTGCACAATGAACGACACACCCTTGTGGCGTTTCCCTTGCGGGGTACAGGGCCCTGTGAGAATGGAAACTGGTTAGGCAGCACAGAAAGTTCCAGACCACTGAAGCACCTAATGACTCTCTATCAGTCTCTGAGGGACTATAGGGAGTATGTGGGGAATTCAGAAAGCTGTTTACTATTTATGGTTACAAGCACCTGTTTGAACATTATAAAATTGTAAATACAAACACACAGGGCTACCCAAAGAAACATTAATCCCACTATGTCCTGACTAGACAATTATATCATTGCATCTTTACGAACTTTATTAATTTTTGGTGATGCTAATATCTTATTTGAAACATTAAATTATTGTATGAAGAAAACTATCATAGTTTTTCATCAAACCTTAATGTATTATCATCAGCTATTCTTGATTAATGATGGGAGGAGGGTCACCCCAAGACTCATCAATGATTATTTGTCTTCTACGGTCCTCTTCCACACTCTATCATCATCATCATCATCATCATCTTCATCACCGTTCATTAATTCACGACAATCTTAAATTGAAGACTTCCTGCTTGACATTTGACGTACCTTGCAAAAATAGCATTCTTCCGTTTTTAAAGATCGCCAGAGTATGTCCTGTGTTGTCTCTTACTGTAACACTTTCGTCTTCTGTAGAATTTATTGCTGCAATGCCCTAGTCGCTTGGGTATCTTGATCCACACTGAACAAACTTCTCTAGTTTCTCTAGAATTCAGCAGCCAGAATCCTGACCAGGTCTAGTTTAAGGGATCACATTACTCCTGTCTGGAGTTGTTGCACTGGCTTTCTTTCAGATTTTGTGTTGATGTCAAAATCCTCAAGCTCACTTATAAGGCTCTGCGTGGCTTGGCACCTCAGTTCCTGTCTGAGCTACTATCGTCCTTCTCCCTGCCTCACACCCTTCATTCATCTGAGACTGGTCTCCTGTTTGTCCCTCAATGCCCTACATACAGTACCATGTGCTGACGGGGCCTTCACTGCTTACACCCCAGAGCTCTGGAATTTTATCCCATTGAATATCAGCTCTCAAATCCAGACTCAAAACCTTCTACTAAATTCTAAAGCTTCTTATGAATGTAACGGCACAGAGCCAAGATTGAGGTAGGACCCTATGCTGTATCTGAACTGATATTAAGCACAGAGTTGGAGAGTGAGAGAGAAAGCCGGGTGTACTTAGCCAATACTTCGGATCCGAAATCATTGTAGTAGGGAAACGCAGGTCAATTAGCTGTAAGATCACAGGTAACGAGGAATACTAGGGAAGGAGCTCCACTGGGATACCCAATACCGAGCACTGTGATGAAGGTAAGGAGCCCTTAAGTATTCTGTGTGATAGGATGATTAGGCCAAGCACCGGTGTTTGCGGGAATTGGAAGGTGCTTGTTTCTGATTACCGGGAGCCGCGTTTGCTCTTATTACCGAGGGCTGTGACAGTAAAGCTTTTATTAAACTGTTGCCTGTCTGCCCCTTTTTAGATAAGATAAGATCACTTTATTGGCCATATACAATTTTTGTATATACAATTAGGAATTTTGTCTTTTCGCATACCCTAACTTGCTCTTGATTTGAATCGGCAACCTGCCAGCCACAGGCGCAGATCTTATCTTCTACTGCACTGTAAACGTTTGTGTCTTTGTGCTAATTTTACAATCTTTCTTACTGTTTTCATTGTGTAAAATTTTGATTTGTAAGCGCTTAAAAAAGATGCTTTGAAAGGTGCTATATAAAATAAAGTTATTATTTACTATTATTACTGCAGGAGTCTTCCATGACCACTTGGCTTCAACTGTCCTGATTTTATTTTCATCATCCTAGACCTGTTGTGTTTTAGGACACACATAATATTAAAGAGGCAAACTACACAGGTCACAGCTTTCAAGTTCATTGATTTATTCATTAGAAACCAGTATCTCTTACAGTCACAGACATATGAATTTTCCCTCTGAATCTGAAACAAAGTTAATAGCTACCAATTATATGTAAGGAGCACATTATTATTTGCCAATGATACACACCTTCAACCTTATGGAACATGGATCCTTTCTAGCACATGATAATTATCTTCTAGCAAACCAAGGCACTGGAAGGCAATATTGCCACTCCCACCCCATGCTTTTGAAACCAGGACTCTTAATAATACTCCAAAGGCACCAAATTAAATACCAGATTATTTTAACGTCACAGTAAAATAGATCTGCTATTTTATTGAATTGAACCAGATCAGACAGCAAGCTGGTGTACTACACAGGATCTTTCCTGCTGGTTCTTAATTTCTATTTTTAGGAGGTCATGGGCCTTTTGTATTGTTTTGGTTCCTCAGGCCAGTTGCCAGTCATGTCTGGATAAATAAAGGCTGTTTCACATCAAGGCAACAGACGTCTCTTGCCACCTCCATGCTTCTCTCCACTGTAGTGAAACAATAAGCACTGCTGTGTACACAACCTCAGAACAAAACATCTTTCTGTCCCGTCCGAAAAAGGCCTTCTCTGTTTGAGGGTCGAGTATGAAACAGCCGCACTGCGCAGCCTGGTAAGGGATTAGCATCACCACGCCTCTCTGACCACAAAACTCCAAGGATGGCTCAGAGATGACAGTGCCTCTAGGCCAGAGGTGGGCAATCTTGGTCCTGGAGGACCAGTGTGTCCAAAAGTTTTTATTCCAACTTAATGAGCTAAACCAGCCAGTTACTGTCTTAACTGGACCAGTTTACCAGCCTTTTCTAGTTCCCACAGTGCTGCTGCCTGCTGTAAAGAGACTGCAGTTCCTCCCGGACCAGGACTGGACACTTTTGCTTTGGTCCATTTTGGTTAGGATGGAAAGATGTGATGGGAGCCACAGTGGCACAGTGATTAGCACTGCTAACCCATCCATTGTAGCACATGATGGTTATCAACATAGTAACAGCAGGTTAAGCATATACCAAACTGGTATAGCAAGGGGTGTTAAGACAACCGTTAATTAAAAACGTTCTTTTTTTAAAATAAAAGCGACTCAAAACAGTATGGGAGCAGACCAAGCTGATTCTGGGTTGGAGTTACTGTACATTATTTGCCCCTCACAGCTGGGGGTCCCCTCAGGCAGTGGGCGTACAATTGACCAAGCGTCACCAGGGGGCTGGGTGGACTCACTCGAGTCAGCGAGGGTATCCCTCACTTCCTCGTCATGGCAACCCCCGGGTCGCCGTGGGTGTCGCAGTCTGGTGCGCCAACCTCTTCACTCACCTATGGGGGTGTGTATGTGAGGGGGGTCGTAGTATGTCAAATATCGAACAGCTATGAGGGGGAGGTGGGTGTGAGAGGAGAAAGTGTCCCAGTCGTCTCGACTCCCCCAGCCTCCACACCCTCCAGCCTTGGGGTCCCAGTAATGTCCGGTGCCGATGCCAAAGATGAAAGGCGAGATACACAAAATTGAACATTTTACATTTTAAAGCAAGAAGGGGCAGGGCGCATTATTCGTGGCAGATGTCTAGCATGGCAAATCACAACAGATTATAAAAGAGCAAGGGCTGCAGGAGGGCAGGTGGGGAAAAAAAGGGGAAGAGAAAGAAACTTGAAAATGCAGATGGAAAGATGGGGGGCGGCGAGAAAAGAGACCACAGGAAAGAAAGTGAAAAAGAGAAACTGCAGCTTTTTCGAAGGCGGAAAAACTCTTTATTTTTCTTTATTGCAGCTTTATTGAACAAAGTATTTAGGATGCAGCTTTCTAGTTTCCACACTTTCTGAGTGTTGGGAAGAATTACAAAAGTAAACTAAAGCAGTTTTAAGCTTAGAAATATCCCACTAATCATACTGTACCACTGTGTGCTGACATTAAAGCCTTCCATGAATAATAATTAAAAATACACAGAGCTATGTCAGCTCCACCCATTATTAAAGTTGGTCACTAGACACTGAGCTCCAAGCCCTAGTTAGGTCTCACATGTATTCTCTGACAGGAACAAACTCCCGGTGGAAAGATACAATTGCCCAGAAGACAAAATGCTTCTCACGGAAGCATTAATCGCTGTTCTTTTGTGGCTCATGGGCTGCCACCCCCCTGCAGCTGGAAGCAATGTTTAGCCCACTGGAGAAGGAAGAATAAAATCAAGTAGACGCCAAGAGAGAAACTGCTTCCGGCTCAGCTAGGAAACAAGAACCAAAGACCCAAGTAGGAAATTAAAGAGGATACATGTTGTGGACTGAAAATCTGATTATGAAGCAGCGCTTCTTTACCAAAAGAGTAGCCAGTGTCTGAAGCAAACTGTCAACAGGGGATGCTGACTCCCCTACAGTCTTTGAAAAGGTGCCTGGGCAAGACCAAGATACTTTAAGTTCAATCCTAATGCCAAACTTGCAAGACATGTTCTTAGACGTCTCAGGCTCACTCTTGCCCTGATTAATTCACTCCTTGCTTGGCACGTGCCCTTTCTCTTGTTGTTCTGGGCTGTGGTGGCACAGATGGCATCCCCAGCGCTCATCTAAGAGAGGTGAGACAGGCCATGTGTATCTGGGTGTATCTGCAGGTGAAGCCCAGTTATCCTTGCTTGTAATGAACCCAAAGGTGCTTCCTGTTATCTTATTTTTAGACGTTTCACATCCTATTTGAAGTGAGACGGCATGTATTCGTGAATAACCACGTGCTACCATCAATAACCACATCGCCACTGTAGCATAGAAACCATGCTTTCTCCAAATGAAAACTTTGTCTTGTACTGAGGGTACCAATGTTGCTTTCTTTTGCAGCAGGAGACACTAATCTGTTCTTTGCATGTATCCAAAGGCAGGGGTTCCCAATGCTGGTCCAGGAGTTCCACACACCTACTAGATTTTTTGTTCCGGCGAAACAAACATTTATTGACTTAATTGGAACTGCTTAACTGCTTTCAGCTCTTAAACACATTGCAGGTTTGCCTCTTAGATCCTGAATAAGTTAACACAAAATCTCAAACTTTCGAGCAGGTGAAAAAACTTGAACATATTTCACTCAAGCAAGTTGTTAGTTCAATTAAAGCTTCAATTAGGTCATGAAGCTCAGAAAAATGAAGACCAGGGGGTGTGTGGACCTCCAGGAGCAGGATTGGAAATCTCTACCAGTGACACAGAAAATATCCCGTGAGTGTGAGATTGGGAAACCATTTCCAGGAGATAAAAAACCTCTCCCAGGTATCTATCTGGAGGGTGGGGGCCAAGGTGGGTGGGATATCACAGCACTGCAGTGGCTGACGGCCTCTCCACATCCTTAGTTAAGGAAGCAGCAGCTGCCTCATCCAGGAACCACAGCAGCTCCCCCCCAGCTGGGTTAACTCGAGCTGCAGGCAGAGCCGGGCCTTCACCTCCCTCCAGAACGTGCTGTGGAGAACAGAGGGGGAAGAGAGAGGTCAGGCCCCAGACACCCTGGACACAGAACACTCCCAGCATCAGCATTTCACTGCTCTCAACACAACCTTTCACGTCTGTTTCTTTCTACTGATTGCTGACTGAAGCGGTGATCAGATGAAAGCCTAGTTAAGGCAGTGGGGAAGGGGACTGGGCTTCATCAGGCAGTGCAGATTCAAATAAATAACTGCTAATTCAACATCCGAACAATACAAAAGTAACAAGTAAGAGACAGCCTTCTGGCCCATCCTGTGCTCTGTTGGCTGCTAGCGGCTTATTGAGCAGAGGACAGACACAGGCTTCAAAGCCCTTTCCCTTAAACATTAGCTACTTAATTTTGTGAAATTCAACCATCCTGGAAGCTGGTTTTATAATTTAGAATTTAGAATTTAAGTGCAAGCATGATAAAATAATCACCATCTTATACCTGTTGTCATTTTAAATATGCAGAAAATCATTTCATTTGATAGTTGCTAGATAGAGGCAGTTTAGTATTAGATATTTTTAAAATTGCTTTAGTCTGAAGCTATTATGTCTTCTTAGAAATGGGACTTCTAATGTGCAAGAACGGAATAGCATAAGAAAAGATACAAATGTGTGGAGGCTATTCATCTCACCTAACCCATTTGGTAATTAGTAGCTAATTGATCCAAAGATCTCACCCAGCTGTTTCTTAAAAGAAACCAGGGTATCAACAGGTTCAACAAGATGCCCTGACAGCTTGTTCCATACTCCTACCACCCTTTGTGCAAAGAAGACTCAGCAATAAAACATGTTCTAAGGCATTTACAACTTTTAATCCTATTTTGTATAATCAGGAGAGATGCAGGGAAGGCTAGGAGAAGCTTAAATAATCGTAATGTATTGCTTTCTTGTTTAAGCAGTACAGTTTGTATGAAGACCTGAAACTTGTGAAGTGTGAAAATCAAGACAATTCTATACAACTGAAATATCAGTTATTCCATCCATCCATTTTCTAACTGCTTTATCCAATTCCGGGTCGCGGGGGTGCCAACACCTATTCTGACAAGCAACAGGCACAAGTCGGGGTACACCCTGGACGGGGTGCCTGTCCATCACAGGGCAGGCAGACACAAATATACACACACTCACACCAGGGCCAATTTTACCAGAAGTCTGTTAACGTACCAGTATGTTTTGGGGCTGTGAGAGGAAACCAGAGCACCTGGAGAAAACCCTCACAATCACAGGGAGAACACACAAACGAACACGCACACAGCACTTCACTGCCCCACTGTGTCACCCATATAACTTATTACCCTGACATAATAAACTTATGATGTAAGAGAAATAATGTCACAAAATATCACAAGCACAATCGCTAAGCAGTGCTTTAAAGACCCACCTTGAGCACAGGTGCTTTGCTGCCCCCTGTTGATACAAAGACCACACAGCGGGCAGCATTGACCACAGGCAGGGTGAGGGTGATGCGCTGAGGTGGGGGCTTTGGGGAGTCGCTGATGGGTGCCACTGTCCGCTGGTTCTCCTTAATGGGGGGGGTCAAACAAGAACGGGTGGTTTTTGACATGCAGGACACCTAAAGCAAATTTTAGTCCCAGCTTGTGATAAATTCGTAAAGAGCAAGCCAGATCCAATGTTCTGTATGTGTGAAAAAATAAGTTTGTCACAGGCGTACAATTATTTCTTTCTGAATAAAAACTCTGTGAAAGAGCATGAGACCCCACCAGTCCTGCTCTGCAAGTTGCAGTTAGTTTAGAGGTCTGATGCTTGATGACTCACTACGACAGAAGAATCCACTTCTATAAAATCTTCTTTGAATTTATGAGGAGTTTCAGATCTCAGCTCCTTCTTTCAGGATTCTCCACCCGGGAAGATCTCTGGAGAATGACTGAAATCAGCAAGTAGCAGGACTTTCCTCTGTCAGGCATAAGGAACTCCCTTCTCAAGTCCACTGGAGAATCTGAATCTATTTTTCCATTTAAAACTCTGATTAAGACTTCTTAGTTTTCGCTTTTGATCTTGTAAAGATCTTGAAAAGAACAATGGAAATTTATATAGGATTTACTGGTTGGCTATGTTGTAGAACAGCAAAAAGCCTATATTGTACTAAAAACCAAGGCTTCTGAAGCTAACTAGTCCCATTGTAAATTCACCTACAACACTTTCTCCTAGGCAGGCAGGCTGGTCTGAAATTAACACATGATTTTAGTGCACGAGAAACAGCAGAGCGAATGTTGCAAAAACTGGCTTTGGATGTAACGCTTATTTTGTGTGATCACAAATATAATAACATATATTGTTATATTATACAATACAATATAATATAGATTTGTATATAAATATATAATAATATTATAGTATTAAAGTCTATTAAAATTAACAGTACAATTGTCTGCTTTGCTTAATTTGGAGGTCCAAGGTGTGCTGTTCCCTTACCTCCAGCAGGGGGTGCCCTGGGAACAGAGAACAGGTGTGTCCATCAGGCCCCATTCCCAGCAGCAGCAAATCAAAAACCGGAAACTCCTCGTTTGGAAATGCCTGCAGTGGAACAGATAAGGAAACAGCTAACCCAGAAGAATCAACACAGACAAAAGGAGTTACTATAGAGTTACAACGGAGCAGACAGACACGCACGCAGTCACAGCAGGGCTAGTCTACCCAGAAACCACATGAACTGTCAATATGTCTTTGGAATGTGGGAGGAAACTACAGCACCTAGAAGAAACCTACGCAAACATACTAATTCCATGCAGATAGCACTCCAGGTCCGAAATTGGACCCAGGACCCCAGCACTGCGAGCCAGCAATGCTAATCACTTAATACTGTGCCGCCAGCACCAAACATATTCTACATTTGACTTTACATTTAAAAAACAAAGCATGTTTATTTTTCAGGCCAATTCAGATCCACGAATCTTAAATGTTATCAAGAAAACAGAGGGTGAGAGAGGGAGAAAAAGCAGAGCCCAAGCTTGGCGACATGAAAAAAGGTAACAGACGAGAGGAGACCAATTGGCCCATCTAGTCTGTTTGGTAGTTAATCCTGAATTGATCCCAGGATCTCATCCAGCTGGGATCAATCCTGGGGAAAGGAACCCGGGTATCAGCTTGTTCCATACTCCAACAACCTTTTGTATAAAGAAGCAACGTCTTGCACTTTCACATACTTCCCAGTATACCTTCTGGTTGGTGTTTCAGTGTTCATTCATAAAATGTCTCCTGGGTAGACTTTGTCAATGAATCCATCTATCAGACTAGTAGTAGTTGTCTTTACTCAAGACTAGGAACAATAACCAGTAAAGGCCTCAATTACCTCACTCAGTTTCTTGGCGTAGTCTTTTGCAGCTTCCTCGACACTCAACGAGGGGTCGATGGCCAAGACCTGAGTTTCAGGGATGCTCATTTTGCATAACAGCTGACTCTGAAACAAAGCAACAGCTTTTCAATGTCCCTTCCCACACCATGTCTAATACCACAAAGTGACCATGAAATACTGAATTAATCCCAACTCCACCCCTACTGTACTGTGTCTCCTAGATCACGGGTCTCCAACCCTGCTGCTTATAGGACAGTCAGTCTTAAAGGACGCCTGTGAACATCTTGATCAATCAATCTCTTCACTTAAAGGCAGGACTTAGTCCCATTAGTCCCATTAGTCCCAAATGATCTCATATAACAAACCAGCTTTTTAATCGCTCAAAATTGAATTGGTGACTGAATTGAATCTGCAGACCTGTTGCCCTCCAGAAAAATCTCTGCCTTTAGTCACTGAAAGGTCTGCCTTGCAGTGTGCAGTGGGCAACAGGCAGCTCTCCTCACCATGTCTGCAACAATCTTACTTTATACAGTCCATAGGTGCTCTCAGGGTCTTCGAAGGGAACCAGGCGCTCGTCACAAAAGCCCACCAGCCACTTAGAAGAGTCTAGGCCGGGCAAGGCGGGCAGCTCGCGGGCCAGCATGGAGACCAGGCTGCCGCCAGACAGGCCGAGGGAGAAGCGGCCGCGCTCCGAGCCCGTCGCCCGAGCTGCCCGCGCCGCAGTGAAGCGAGCCAGCGCCGGCCCCAGCTCTGCCGCCGACGGGAACACGAGAATGCGCCGACCGCCACCGGACATCTCCAAGGGGGGCTGAGAAACACAGACACGGGATTACAGAGCAACAGTCTACAGTACTTACACCTAAAGCCACTGCTCTTTGGGGTCCTGCTACTGTATTAATTGATGTTCTATGGAATTTTATCTTGGTACTTCTTTCTGGAACATTCTACTATGCTAACTTGTTGCCACTGTACGGTAAGTTTTTTTGCTACAAATAAATAAAAATTATAACGTTGGAGCGGTGCGGTGGCTCTGTGGCTAAGGATCTGCATCTGTGGCTGGAAGGTTGCCTGTTCGTATCCTGCAGCCAGCAGAGGAATCCTACTCCGTTGGGCCCCTGAGCAAGGCCCTTAACCCCAACTGCTCCAGGGGCGCTGTATAAATGGCTGACGCTGCACTCTGACCCCAAGCTTCTCTCCCCGTCTGTCTGTCTCATGGAGAGCAAGCTCGGGTATGCGAAAAGACAAATTCCTAATGCAAGAAATTGTATATGGCTAATAAAGTGATCTTATCTTATAACTAATTAATGATTAATAAATCAATAAAGGATTTGCCTTAAGCCCAAACACATAAAAGGGAGTGATGCGTTTTAGTTACCAGTGATAGTGCGTTATGTAGAAAAATACAAGTCCATTAACATTTCCTTTTGAGCTGCAAAATATGCACTTTACTCATATTTGTTATATGTCAAATGAACAAAGTGTGCGTTCCTCCGGTCAGTCACAGATGTACATTCTCTGTATCATACGCATATTTCAGTGTTTAGAGTTTAGGCAACCTTCCTTCAGTCTCTTAACTAAATTATGTAAATACCCTATACTGTAGGTTTATTTAAAAATGTGCTTTATGGACTGAACCCCTTTATTTATTTATACCACAAAACGTAACGGTACAACAGAAGTGCCTCGGGTATCCTATAACAGAATTTCCGTCGAAGACATTACTGCATTCATAGGTAAATATTTATTCATTTTACAAGGAAGCGTTTTTTAAAATAGATTGCTTAATGCAAAGTTTTGCAATCACACACTACTTCGCCCAATTAAAAATAAATGTATGAAAACACTACTGTCTCTCCCGTCTCCGATTTTTTAAAATCAGCTCAGAGAATGATGCTCCACCTGATATTACAATTTATCGTTATCATGTAAACAACTAAATTACACACATAAGGAACGTCGGTTTAAGCTCTAATTCGACATGGAAATAATGTCGCTTCTCATTCGCAACATCCTGCATCCACTGAGTACTTACTATGTTCAGAGAGTAACAAAGTTCCACGCCTTCCTTACTGTGAATGCGCTTTCGATTTATTCTCTGCCACACGTTTTATTTAAAAATCGTTAAATCAATTTTTATTTGTATTGCAAGTCATTCCAACAGCCCGAACTGCTCAGCACGCCCCCATTCATCTCCAGTTCCTCATATAACGCCACAGGACAGCCTATCCCGCAGTGCCCCTGTCGCATTGCATTTCGGGATACGTAGTCTTTGATACGACGACCCGAAATCCCAGGCAACCCAGTTCACCAGCAGCTGGCAGTGTTTGCTCAGTAGCATATCTTTCTGGAAAGTGAAGTCCAGTCTTTTATGCAACAATGTCTGCTATTGTAACTGTTGCTGGGACATGCTCTATTCATTGGTTGTAATGTAATAATAAAAATAGGTTAAAACCGATTTTAAACATTGAGTGCTATCTGCAGATGCCGTTTGTTGCTTATCTTACAAAGATACTGGGCCACGAACACCAGACTTTATCTGTGACAGCCTTCACATACGTAATAAAGACTATTACGATATTTTGCATGACCAACAGCTTCCGTATTGTGGCATAACGCTTATAGCTACCGCGAATCATAATTATGTTAAAAGCACAGCTATTGTTGCTTGTGTCATATTTGTAATATTAATATCACAACTATTTTAGGTTTAATTATCTTTATATCAATCCATCCATCCATCCATTTCCTAACTGCTTTATCCAGTACAGGTTCGTGGGGGAGGCAGGGTCCATCACAAGGCAGACAGACACAATCACAGACACACACTCACTTACACCTGGGCCAATTTTCCCAGAAGTCAATGAACCTACCAGCATGTCTTTGGACTGTGGGAGTCCAAACTGGAGCACTAGAAGAAAACCCACACAACAGGGGGAGAACATACAAACTCCACAGAGACAGCACCCCAGGTCTGTAATTGAACTCAGGGCCCCAGCGCTGTAAAACAGCAGGGCTAACCACTGTGTCACCGTGTTGTCCTAATTAATTTCATAGATGCATTATATTGCTATATTTTTTCTTTGTATTAACACAGCTGTGCCAACTGCAGCTTCAGTATTGTTGTGTGTGGTGGTCATGGGTCGTGGGTCTTTAAAATGTCTATAACAATCAGTAGCACATATTTTGGAAGGGGACACCCCATCCCAAGACTGCAGTGTTTCCTGGGTCACCAAAAGGTGGGTAAAGTATTGAGGTAGATAACAGTCAAATCTGACTCTGCTTTAACTGAGGTTTAATACAGAATTAACATTGCACTGGAAAACTCCAGAAAGTTCCAGAGAAGACCTATAGCTAACATAACCACCTAAGGGGGAGGCACATCTCCAGTTCTCCATAGGGAGGGGTGCAAGGCTTCCGGTTCTTTCCACTGGAGCTCTTAACCTAATGGAATTCATTATTTGCTTAACTGGATAAGCTGAAACAAATGAAACAAAGCTGGATCTATGAATCCTCTTGGACTGCAGCCCCGGAGGACTGTTATTGACTTCTCTTACTCTCTAAAATGCAGAATAAGGTGATAGAGAATAACACATCAAGTATTATACACAAATACAATTCAAAGCGTAAGGACTATGTGGAGTAAACCTTGTGCTTTTTGCTATTAGCACACAAAATTGATTAGAACCAGAGAGTGAAGGAAATGTTTTTTTGTCTGTTTTTGGCTGAGTTTTGACTCCTGGTTCAGAGCCTTGGCAAAGTTGGCCTGAGTTGCAGAGTGTATCCTATTTCTTTCCTGCTTGTGTAGCAGCTAGCCCCGAACCAGCTTAGTTGTACTAACAAGACAGGTCTTGAACTGCAAAGCCTGCTGGGAAAGATGGCCACAGACAGCATGACTAAGCATTTTTTAGTGGTTCCGAAAATGAGAGCGGTCTTGCAAGTCTCTCTTTCGTCTCTCTTGAAAGTCTGGCTTTCGGAGACTTACTTTCTCCCTTACACCCTTGGCTCTTAAAAGGCATACAGTCCCAATGGGACAAAAAATGGCCCCCTGCTCATTCATCCTTTTCCAAAGCACAAGGCTCATTTGCATTTGCTAATTCTTCAGTTCCGGACACTGACAGCTCTCTTTATTGCTGCTGAACGCAGCCCTGCTTTTTGGAAAACCGCACCCCAGCTGGCTTGAGGAAAACAAAAAAGGGACCATCTTTTGCAGACTGATGAGCTCCGGAAATCGTTATTGCAATTAATGCGGGTCTAAATGACATCACCCAAAATGTATTCAAAGGCCTTTCAACAGCTGAGGGTACTTAGAAAAAGTTTTCTGCTTTATTAAAAAAAGGGATATTTAAATTAAGAGCTACAGAAGCAGGGATCAGAATTTAGCCAAAATCAGGGTTTCCAACTCGGGACCCTGGCTTATTATAACTGAATCTCATACTTAACCAACATTTTATCAATTAGACCTTTATGAAATCTACTTCTTACAGGTATTGAAAAAGTTCAAATTAAATATTCCTTTAGTTACTGTAAATGTACAGTGAAGGAACTCATCATAATTTGTGGTAACTAAAGATGTCCAGCTGCAATGAAAACCAGAGGATACCAGGGTCACAACTATGAGATAATTCATGTTATACATACTGTACTGTACATATACTTAGAACACTAAATTATTTTTATTTTAGGGGAAATTCATTGCTCTAGTCCTGGTGTGCGTGTTTGACCTGAGCTGTACTGGCGTCCCATCCAGGGTGTATCCAGCCTTGCGCCCATTACTTGCCGGGACAGGCTCCAACATCTCATGCAACCCCAAACTGGATAAAGCTGTTGGATTAATTATTTCGCTTCATAAAAAAAAACACAAAGTGCACACAAAGCCGCTATTTATGTAAAACACCAAAGCATGTACCATTTTCCAGCTCCCTTTTAAGCACGATCGTTCATTTCAGAGTTTAAGAGCAGCACATTCAAAAGCATTTGCTTCAGAAACAAAGAAGCAGTTCTTTCCACAGAAGGTGGTTGGAGGATGGAATATATTAGCTCCTCACATGTTGGATGGCGATAAAAAAAGGATTCTTCCTGGAGTGCGCCGAGGCCCCTCTAGTAATAAGCTATTATCAGCCTCAGTCGAAAGCACTCTATTATTCTCTATTATGTTTGTTAGAGACAATTCTATTTTTAATAGCATTTCAGTCTACCACAGCCACCCAAACAAAGGTTATCAAAGTTCCATCGGAACTTCTAAACTACCATCGGAACACTAAACTACGGACTTCCATCGTTTTTGAAAGATTTGTAAACCCATGATTTCATTATGCTTTAACTGTGCCCACCCCTTCCCTTTGTGTTTATATTATAGGTAGTGAAATAAGCTTTATAAAAACATAAATTCTAGAATCCCAAACTAAAGCAAATAGCATCACTAAAGAGAAGTTTGTGATAATTTCTGTGCTTCTGAAAAGTAAAAAGAAAGTTGTGAGGCAGGCTTTAACATACCGATCATTAGTCCACAGTGCAGTGTAAGGATCCCAGGAATCAGAAACGTCCTAAAAAATCAGTTTCTAGGGGAAGCTAACGAGGTAGTGTTCCACTGATTTTTCTATTGCTTCTGATGTAGACATGACAGACACTGGTGGTTTCTGTTAAAGAAAATAAAACCTTTATTAATAAAAAACATTTTTTTTTAATCTAAAAAGAAAATCTTTGTCAGTGAACACCAGGTGTTTATTTCTTTCTCTAATGGCATTGTTTTCCTAAATATTATTTATTCTCTTTCCCTTTGAAAATGATTTAATACAATTTACTGTGCTTTTTCACAATGATGATAATCCCAAAAATGCAGGTGCTCAGGAAAACTCTTGAAAATACACGGTTCATAGGGGAGACGGCTGATAAGAAGCGATTTCAACAAATCATACTAAAGGCAGAGATAATTTTCCATTTGTATCTTAAGGCACTTCTTGGTTTGTAACATAACATAATGCACACATATGCTACAAATTAAGTGTTCACAAAGTGTTTAAAATAAAAAAAAAAACAACAAGTTTGGTTACAGGTTAAAATTCATGGTTGACACCAGAAGTGAAGACAAGTTTAGCTGTTCATGATTTCATTTTCCTACTATTCTGGCAGTCTTTTTTAAATGAAGAAAAAAACAAGGCGTACTACTTGGTTTAAACTAGAATCTGGAGATTTGTTTGTCTTTTATAATCATGTGACTTGTGACTAAAACAAACCCAAAGCATTAGAAATAAAGAATAACCCTACCCCCCCCCCCACTAGAAATAAAATTGTCTTATGTTAGTCTTACGGTAAACTAGAGTTGTATAGCTTAAAAAGGATATTTACATTGGTGTAAATTCCTCCTCGTAGGGTTTTCTGCCTATTCTTTGCGTTTAACATTATCCTGTTCAACTGTCATTATTGAACTATAAAATGAATCTCTAGGTGCTCAAGAGCATACAGTACACTATTTTCGCCAGCTTCCTTTTTATGGTGTTTTTTTTTAAAAAAAGAACCAGCTTTCTCCGATGCGAGTACAGTGCAATTCTTTGTCATTGTTTCTCCTAAAAGTATTAATCCATGTCAATTAATGTGCCAACAGCAATCCAGGGAGCTTGTAGTGTTACCTGTGAGGACAGACCCCTGTTCCAGGTGTAAAACAGAGGATGACAGATCAAGTGTGGCAGCTGTTGCTCTTTTTCACTTTGCCGATACAAAGGGTGTAGCAGTAAAACTTGAGCTGATCAGGAACTCGTAATTCCCTCACCGCAGTGCGTCAAACATTCGCCACTTCTAAAGGCAAGACTAATGTCTATTCTTCCAGTGCATAATTGGAAGAAATGATCCCCAACTGATCACTTTGATATCACCACTTCCACAATGAATATGGTACTGTCTACTAGAAGTAGAATAATTCACACTGTGCCAACCTACAGGCATTCTAATGCCCACATTTGACTTCAAAGCCAGAAAGTGCCTGTTTATCAGCACCAGAATGGATGAAATACCCACAACACCATGCAAATGTGACAACTTGAGGGTCAGGGATAGGAGCTGGTTTGGACTGAGGAACCCCAGGCATGCAATAAAACGAAGATAGGCTTCTCAGGGGAAAAAAAAAGACATTGCAAATAGTTATTTTTTTATAAATTAGAAAACTACAATTAGTGTCCTGTGCTTCAACCTCACTTTTGTAACTGATTTTTTTCAGTCAAGCAGCATCTATTTCAAGTTCCAAAAGAAAGGTGTTCAGATCCTTCCGGGTCCACTGGGTTTCATTTCATTCCAGCGCTGGGGACTGGGGGTTATTCCTACGAAAGCATTCAAGAAACCTGGAGCCAGAGTTTTCCCCAAAGGCTTTTGTTCAGATTTGTCTAGAAATACACTTGCTGCTGGCCGGGGTCAGTCAGTTTGAGCCAAAGTTAAGTCTCCATTTCTCATAGAGGCACCTTGCCTCCTATAATGGCACTATATAATTCCTCGTCCAAGGTCTTGTAACCCCCGGCTCGTGCGGCCAAGAAGAAAATCCTATCAGATGAATGACGTGGGTCGAATCCCTCCTTCTGCAGCCTTGTCTTCTGGATTTTGAAGGTACCTGAGAGAGAGACACTACTGTGAAAAACGCTGTAGACACCCAATATGAATAGGAAGGTTTTGACTACTGTAACAACTTTGACTCTTAGTGCAGCTTCGAAACCATGCTTGTCATTTAGCAGCCTTTAACTAATAGGACTCTTTACAAGCTTCATCACAACTCCAAGGAACATTACTCACGAGCAGTCATATGAAGAGTTGTAGCAGCTACCATCACATTTTCCAACCATATTTAAGTGACTCATTGTCAGATGATCATCACTTCTCTGTACCCAAGCATAAAGGCTACTTTTTGTCCTACAGAACACAGATCAAGTGTCTAGATTTCATTAGGAAAGCACCATAGAATTGTAAAATAAATCATTTTAAATAATCTAACATTCACTTGAGTCATGTCATTACAATAAGCTGACTAAGCCCAACCAAACCTAAGGCCTTTTCCAGTTTTGATCTAGGGACTTTTTAAGTTTCAATGTTTCAAGTTTCAAATGTTTTTAAAACAGAAAATCTACAGTTCCACTAATAAAGTACTGTAGGCAGTTCTAGATGAAGTCTCAAAGGGTGGTGGGAGTGTGGAATAAGCTACAAAGCCGTATTGTTGAAGCGATACCTTAGCATCTTTTAAGAAATGGCTGGATGAGAACCTCTGATCAATAACTACTATCAATGGAGCTGGCTGGGCCAGACGGACAATTCATCCATTACTAGGAAGCTGTTAAAACCTGGCAAGGGCAACAAAAATACTTTATAGAGCAAATCAAATCATTAGGTCAATTAATTTGAGCTGAGCTCAAATGAAAAGCAGAAAAGGGCCCCACACTCCAGGAATACTAGACTATGGTAGTTAAGGTGGGTAGCTGCGTTCCTTTTCAGCCTACTCATGCTGACAAGTAATAGGTTTATTCCATGCTGAAAAAAAAGAAGAAAACACAACGTTTCGGCCGTGGAGCCCTCTTCAGGTGTGAGAAAGACAAGGCAGTAAGCAAAGGTAATGTAGCGGGAAAACAAAGGCTGTGAGAGAGGAGGAGTGAGAGGCGGGAGCAGTGGACAGAAAGAGAGGCCAATCAAGAGGTGTGAAGTCAGAATAGGTGTAGAGAGGTGTGAAATGAAACCTACAATGAATAGAGAGAGAATTTAGAAGCAAAGTAGTCTGTCGTTAAGAGAAGGGGGAAGTGTGTACCTGCAAGTACACATCTAACACCACACTCATTCAAGTCCCCTCAGGACAATTCTGGATCACCCAGATGGCATCTTGTACCTCCAGCAACCTTTTTTAAAAAAAGTATCTCTTGCAGTAAATGCCCAGCCATCTACATTGGAGAAACAGGGAGGAGACTTGGAGACCACTTCAGGGAACA